GTTGTTGGTCTGTGACTGTTCCTTTTGTTGTATCTTATCGGGGGAAGAGTTCACGGGAAAGCTCACTCCGCCATGACACTGATGTCACTCCTTAATAGTATTTTAAAAAATTAAGAGTTGCTTTAAGTATATAGCACAATCTGAAAATACAGTTTGATGTTTCCTTTTCCCCTATTTACCCTGACTATTCTGTTTTTTTATCGTAATGGGTTAGCTAGATTTCCAACATAATGTTGTATAATATGTAACTCTAGGGTAATTTTTTGCCGAAAGCACCATCTTTATCATTAGATGAAACAGCCCTACACCTTTTCCTATCCTTCTAAACTAGAATAATGTAATCTAGAAAGAAGCTTGTAGGTTTTTCTTTTTGTTCTCCCTTGAACTTAGGGTAGCCTAGTATAAATGAACTTTATAAGCAGGAAGCTCCCTGATTTCTCTTCTTTGGGACCCACCATGATTTCCCTAATTGTGGAATTAAAATGTGCCTTTTTCACAGCTTGGAAGAAAGAATATGTGGGGACTCCTGTCTCCCTCACTCCCTCCTCCACACACACACTCACCACACACTCACCCCCTAAGAACTTAACCCTCCCTAGTCAGATAATCCTAACTGATCAGGGTGTATGTCTACACACCCACCTGTACCTTCCTGCATGCCTATGTTCCCTTCAGTTTTTCTGGTTTTATAATAGGTCGGTCTTCACTCCCTTCTTTGACTAACTCTACTTATATTTTTTTGTTTTTTTTTTTGGTGAGGAAGTTCAGCCCTGAGCTAACATCCATGGCAATCCTTCTCCTTTTTTTTCCCCTTTTCTCCCCAAAGCCCCAGTAGATAGTTGTACATCATAGTTGCACATCCCTCTAGTTGCTGTGTGTGGGACGCGGCCTCAGCGTGGCCGGAGAAGTGGTGTGGCGGTGCGTGCCGGGATCCCAACCCGGGCCGCCACTGGCAGAGCGCGCACACTTAACCGCTAAGCCACAGGGCCAGCCCCTCTACTTATCGTTTAAATCTCAGCTCAGGTGTCACTTTCTGAAGGGAACCCTCAAATCTCCTTATTCTTTACAAGTGTTACAGTTAGAGTTTTCCATTTATTTTCTGTAATTATTTACAAATGTCATTTTCCCCAACTGGATTATAAGATCCAAAAAGGCAGGTCTGGTGTGTGTTTTTGCCTCGTTTTATCCCTAGCTCCTCACACAGTGCCTGCCACACAGTGGACACTCAGGAGGTATTGATGACTGACTGCAGAGACTGAGGAGGATGCAGCATGTGGGCGTTGATGCTATTTAAGCACTTTTTTGTAGGAACCTGAAATGAAATGCCTCTAGTGGTTTTATTGTATATTACAACAGGTGTAACCTACTATTCAGCCTTTCAGTAGATTTTAGAATGATTATATCTTATAATTCATAGACCTACAATAATGAAATAGAAGTTTTGTAAATAATCTCAGTTCTTTATGAAAATATTTTATTTAATCAATCACATTAATACCCATAAATCATCCAAAATTTTGTATTATCTGCATTTTCACAGCTTACTGAGTGGACTTTTTACTTTTCAAAAAAACATTATCTTAAGATATAGCAATGATATGTGCTGTTTAAGAATTATTCTATTTAATATGTTTTCATGTAAAAGCTTTCCTGAATTTATATATTTAATAAATTTGGCATACAATGCAAATTTATATGCATTTTAATAGTATTGTTGTTTAGTGTATTTCTTGGCATTTACTAATACCCATTGAGGGTAGTTTTTTTTTTTTTTTTAATTGAAGTAACATTGGTTTATAACATGATTTCTGTGTAGATTACATCATGTTCACCACCCAAAGGCTAATTAGCATCCATCACCATACACATGTGCCCAGGAGGGCAGTTTTGTCAGTTATTAGAGTCATTCCTTTCAGTTTGGAAAAACGTTTATTTTCTAATAGCACATTTTGCAAAATGAATATATAGAAAAATGTGATTGCATTATTATAAGGCAATCTTTTACTTTTCAATGTTAATGTTTACTGTTCTGCATTAAAATGATTTTCTTTAATTTTTATTCCTTCATTTTATTGCAAAAACCAGTATGGTTTTGGAAGAGTGATAGTACAGTAGTCCCCCCTTTTCTGCAAGGGATATGTTCCAAGACCTGCAGTGGATGCCTGAAACCAGATCATACAAACCCTATATAATCTGTGTTTTTTCCTATACGTATGTACCTATGATAAAGTTTAATTTATAAATTAGGTATTAACAACAACAATAATAAAATAGAACAGTTATAACAATATACTGTAATAAAAGTTACTATAGATCTTAGTAACCTCAGCATATGATTTTTTTTTCTTTCCTTATTAAGTCAAGAACTTTCACCTTTTCACTTAAAGGAAGCACTTTATGGCTTCTCTTTGGCATACCCGAATTGCCAGCATCATTACTCTTGTGGGCTTTGGGGCCATTATTAAATAAAATAAGGGTCACTTAAACACAAGCATTGTGGTACCTTGACACTGGATCTGATAACCAAGATGGCTACTAAGTGACTAAGGGGCGGGTAGCATATACAGCATGGATACGAGGGACAAAGGGATGATTCACGTACTGGGCGGGATGGAGCAGGATTTCATCACACTGCTTAGAATGGTGTGAAATTTAAAACTTATGAAGTGTTTATTTCTGGAATTTTCCATTTAATATTTTTGGGCTATAGTTGACTGCTAGTAACTGAAACCACAGAAAGTGAAACTACTATAAATTTTTTGAGGTGGAAAGTTGCATGAAGTTGGGTTTTTTTTCTTGTACAGATCCTGAAATGGAAAATGAAGAACAGCCATCTGAAAATGATTCTCAGAATCAGAGTGCTGAACAGATGACATCAATTTCTCAGGAGGTTGATTTGGTTGATCAAGAGTCTCCTGAGGAAAGTTCTCTAAAGTCTCACCCAGAATCATTATCTCCAGCAGATACAGACAATGCTGCAAGTGTTTCTCCTTCCGAACAGAATTCTAATCCCACAGAAAACCATGAGACCACAAGTCTTGATGGTGAATGTACAGATTTAGATAACCAACTTCAAGAACAATCAGAAACTGAGGAAGATTCCAATCCTAATGTTAGCTGGGGTGAAAAGGTCCAGCCTATAGACTCCATATTAGCAGACTGGAATGAAGATATAGAAGCATTTGAAATGATGGAGAAGGATGAACTATGACTCACTAAAGAATCTAGTGGTAGGTATTTAAAAAGAAAAGGTAAACTGTGGTTAATAGACACCCTAATACTAAGCAGGCTCTCTAATGGGAGGCTTTAAGTATGGTGATGAGCAACCACGTTCTGACTGGGATGATTAGTTATCATAGGAATCTGGAGCATGCTGTGTTAGAATTGACCTTGCTTAAAACTGACCCATCAAAAATGGAAACTCACAGTTCCGCCCTCAAATGATGGCATTGCACACCCTGCAGCACCTCAGGCCAGGAAAAGATTACTGGATGTTCCTAGGAACCAGATTTCTGCAGTCTCTGGATAGACGAGAAACAAATTCAGTTAATAGTGGGGTGAGGAATAGAAACTTATATAGCTTTCTAATTAAAGGAAGCTTGACTTTCTTGGTTTTGGGGTTAGAGGCTCTACTGGGAAAACACATGTGAGTATTGTGGGCATTCGGGTTATGCTGCCTTCACAGAAACACTCAAAGTGACCTAAGTGGGTATGAAGCAAATGCATTCATGGTGAAAACAGTCTTTTCTCATCACTTTCACTTGCTTCATTGTGTAACAAATGATCAAATGACTTGATTTTTTTCCTTCTTAACAACGTCCTTTTCATTTAAACCAAAGGTGAAGCCAATGTACTTTCTCAGTGAGTTCTCAGCATAAAGACTAATCATTGGGACCAGGTAAAAAGGTCATATAATATATTGCGGAAATTGGTTACTTAATACTTTTGAAAAATGGAGCAGGGGAGAAACTATAATTTTGCAATATGAACTTGCCATTGGGCCTTCCATAAGGAAAGCTGTGACTACTCTCCAGTGGAACTTAAGGCTATATTCTTGTAGGGTAAATTCTTGTAGGGTAAAATTTTCCAGTTCATTTCTCTTAGAGGTGATTACCTCCAGCCATCAGCCTTATTCCATCCCATGTTTAGTATGCAATTTGAGCCACAAGGCCCATATCGCCAATAGCTGAATACATTTTGTCCCATTTTTCTATCTTAGGGAGCCATGATAAAACTGTGGTAGTGATCTAAAAATCCTGGGGTAACTACTATTTTTTCTCCTATGGTTTCTGAAGTTGCATCTAAGGAGTCTGTCACATTTTCTGTTCAATCATGGTTATTTTTAAGTTTGCTTTTTTTTTTTAACAAATATTCCTTCTGATATGGGCTTGAAAATTAATCTATGGTAACCTGTGTAAAAAAACTTACACAGTAGCAACTAATGTATAGCCATATAGCTTAATGAGAAATTTTTTTCTTTTTTTTTGTGGCAGTCTGGTGCTGGCCACATGTAAGTTTTAAAAACTTTATTGTTGATATCTGTAGACAGCCCTGTAGTTGAAATCATGACTTTACTCATTTTATTTATTTTTTTAAACTTACCTGAATGAGTTCTAAAGAAATATTTGTGAGACTTAATTTCCTTTCTCTTTACCATGACATTACATAATAACCTTTTCTTAAAACACAGTTGAGGTACTGATGAACTTAAACTGTATAGGGAGCTGTTAAAAGAACAGCCATGCTGTATTGTAGTTATGTATATTCATGTACAGTATGTCTTAGATCCCAGGTAAACACATTCTTTTATAAGGGGAGAAATAGCTGCTTTCAAAAATTCCAGCTAAACTTAATTGGGTCAGTGAGTGATAAATTGAATAGAGAATTCACTTGGGGGGGAAAAGGAGTAGTATACAAGACCTTTAGTGGCCCCTAATTAAACCTTATACCAAAATGGATATTTTTAGTCTCTCTGCATGTGAAATTTGGTGTAAGAAGATAGAACTATAATACGTACAGTATACAGAAGGATAGACAAAGAGCTTTGTTCATCTTAATTGCAAAGCTGCCAAAATAGCTGAAGCTTAATGACTTGCCTTGCCTTGATTTATAGGACTGGGGCATGGAGAAAAGGGGCAGATGTTCCTCTAAAACTTTGATTACAGAAGCCTTGTATACATTGATTTGATTTCTTATTTGTAGCTCAGAGCCATTGTTGTGTAGATCTAACTTTTCTAAGTTATCAAAACGACGTCATTTTTTTTCCCAGCAAAGATCTTGTGGCATGCAAGGAAAAGCCAGCTTACTGTCACTCTCCCTTGCTTGGCCGTTAGGGGGAGGTGTTGCCATTCATTGAGGTCTAGAAACAAATTAGTTCACTTGTTTAGAGAAGTGAATCCTTAAAAAGAGAAAAGAAAGAAAGTAAAAAATTTGACAAATTATACTTAAACCCCAGAAAGAATGATTGATTTTTCCCCAGTTAAGAAAAGAAGGTATAATGTTCAGCTTCAGAACTCCAACATTGTAATTGACTCTACATGCTTATTCAACATACTGCCACGAAGTTGTTTTTGAGTTCATTAAAAAATTCCAACAGCATTAGGGATTTTTTTTTTTTATGTTTTGTTTTTTAAATACCTTGTATAGACATTTTATTTACTTCCTAAAGATTCAGGGAATTCTATGAGACCCTGAATTTTAGAAACATCTGGTCTACCTCAGTTAAATGTCGACTACATAGAAATAGAGCTGAAGTGATCACCACAGCCATAAAATTGTTTGACTAAGAAGGATTTATACAATGTTTACAAACCTGGAATCAAGTAAGGATTTTATCTGAAAGTTAAAAGTTAGATATTAGAGCAAGTATTTAATTCAGGTATTTTCAAGTTTTAAAACTTAACTTTACCTACTAAAAATAGCTATAGTTTTTTCTGTTTAGGAACATTCATTGAAATGATATACCCTAATTTGCAATACTTTTCCCATAAAATTTTAGGTGTGAAAGAATTGTAATTTACTAGATACATTTGGGATGGGATATTTTGTTGGGTAGGTTTTCTTTTTTCTTTTTAACTTTTAATAGGCTTCCAACAAGAATACAATTATTGTTTCAGAACAAATTATATTTTGACATTATACTTTTCCCTTTTTCTTCACAGTATTAGAGAGTAAAATCAAAAATTGTGCACTCTCTGACTTTAACTAAATTCTCTAATTACTCTCTTCAGAATTTTGTAATTTAAATTACCATCACACAGCCCTTTTTATAGTAAAACCAGCATTTCTTCTCTCACCAAACTCCATGCCAAATTCCTCATCAAGAAAGCTCAGCGTAAGTAATTCAAATAGTGCTTATAATTTTAGAGGGGGTGGGATTTAGTAAATATTCCAACCGGTCGTTTTATGTGCAAGGCTTCAGTCAGAACATAGAAAAAAAAACATTCTGTGAATGAAATATTGTATGTTCAGATTTTATAAAAGACATTTTTAAAAGCCCAATTTACAGCCGTATATTTTCTTATGATGTAATTTATGAAAAAGATGTCTGTACTAACAGGTGCTGTAACACTACTGTTGTTGGATTTTATTGTTTGGTGATAAATGTATACAATATTTCTAAGGGAAACTATGTACTGTGATGTAAAAGTCTGGGCAAAATGTATATAATCCTTGTATATAATTGTGTATTTGATTATAACTGATTGTAAAGATTTAATAAAATATGTAAATATTCTAGTCTAATTTTAATTTGAATTTTTAGCATCACTTTGCATATCTTTATACTTCGATGTCTTTTAAAATTTTTTCACCACTCTGTCTTCCCTTTAATTTTCATTTTACTCCAAGGGAGTAAATTTGGGGGACATCTTAGAGTATAGACACACAAACATACATGGAACCGTTCCAGAACTCAACTAATGCCAAGGACCCTCAGAGTGGAGTTAGAGTTAGTAATTCACAGTGTCAGTGTTGGTAACAAGTTTATGTTTTGAGTTTACTTATATTTAATAAAATCAGTTGTCCTTTCGATATTGTCATCAAAACTAACACTAACCTCTCCTGTTGATTTCAGTGAGGCCATTTCCTTTTAGCAGCCACTTTCAGATACTCTGATAACTTGCTTTTCATCTGTACTGTTCCGGGGTTTCTGAGCACAGATATCTTGAAAGACCTAATAATAATCACTGTTATTTATTGATAATGGCTTTCTTTAAAGGTGAGCAAACTGAGACTCAAACATGTTCTAAGCATCTTACTCAGTCCCACGTTTCATGACTGGACAGTGGAATGGGAGCTGGTCTGTTCAGAGCCCATGCTCCTTTCGGTGTGCCAACCTCTCCCTTCCTTTCTCAGTCCTCCTCACCCTCCTCCCACCCCCATTTCAGTCTCTGCTCACCTTTTATTCAGCCACTACCTTCCTCCCTGGCCTCTTTCTCCCCATCTGAGATTGAAGTTTAGAGATTTAGAGATTCTCAGGTTTTCTGGGCATTAATTCCAGTCTCAGCGTGTCTCCATTCTTCTAGGACAGTGCACCACTATTTCAGGAAGAGTTAAAGGATCCAGTAGTATCTCTTGGCAGATTTCAAAGGGGGGGTTGCTTTGCTTTTCTGGGTAAAGCAAACTTAAGAGTTCTGTCTACTAAGAGAAGCTAAGTAGTTTGAGGGTTAATCAAGAATAGTGTCGGGGCCGGCCCGTGGCTTAGCGATTAAGTGCGCGCGCTCTACTACTGGTGGCCTGGGCCCGGATCCCGGGCGCGCACCGATGCACGGCTTCTCTGGTCATGCTGAGGCCACGTCCCACATACAGCAACTAGAAGGACGTGCAACTATGACATACAACTATCTGCTGGGGCTCTGGGGAAAAAGAGGAGGAGGATTGGCAATAGATGTTAGCTCAGAGTCGGTCTTCCTCAGCAAAAAGAGGAGGATTGGCGTGGATGTTAGCTCAGGGCTGATCTTCCTCGGAAAAAAAAAAAAAAAAAAAAACGTTGGCATCTGCCTGCTAGTAAGGCTTATGCTTCTCAAAGCCTTGCTCTTGATTTGCCCTAATAAACCTGGAGGTCTGTAGTTTCCATCTACCCTCTTCAATGAAGAAGTAAATGGGAGGCCACTGATAGATGCTTGGGGACTCTCTTAATCCATAAAAGAATGCACTCGTCATCCCAGATGACAGGGGGAGAACCGCTTACATTTGGAAGTCCTATCCTTAAATTTAGAAGTGTTATATAGCACATTTCTACCCTCAGTTCAGTCTCGGTGATACTAAGACATAGCAGCAGCAGCAGGTAATGTTGAAAAAATATTCTAGGTGTAATGGTAGGATGGGATTTCTTAAAAAGATTGAAAACCTCCCTCCCATGGCTGAGGAGAGAACCAAAGTCGCTAAATAGACTAGTCTAAGATAGAGGAATTTAACACCAATGAACTGGCCGCTACCCTCCCTGCCACCATCACCGCCCTGATCATGGCACATCTTACATATGAACTCCCATCTTTATCTTATCTGAGCCTCTAAGAAAAGCCATTGGCCTTAAAGCCCAAGAGGCAATCTGACAAACCCCACAAGCTAGCTTGTTTTATACTCTCCCATCCAGCTTCTTCCATTTGTAGAGTAGAAGTTCTCAAGTCGTCCCAGACAGCTGCTACCTTTAGAAGGGCTCATCTATTCATTCGGCTACTCTCCTGTCTCACCTGAGGTATTACCTAATTGATTCCAGCCCCAATTGTCTTATTGCGTAGTTAAAAACATTTTTAAAACCCTGTGATCTTGGTCTCTAATCATTACTTCCCATTCTTGCAACTCAATCTTGTCCACTTAGATAATTCTTCAGGACCTTCAATCCATTGATCCTTCTAGTTTCTCAGAATCCATCACCCCTCCTCGTGGCCTCACTTCCCAACTTACCCACCATTAGCGTTTCTTCCCCTGTTGAGTAACTTGGCAAAACTTTAAATCTTATTAAACCCAACGACCCGCTGATTCTGCACCTAAACTTAAGTGGCTGTTGAAACTGGAAGAAATCACACCCCAACTGCTAACTGGCCTCAGTTTAAATCATGACCACAAATCTCAAACGAGATTCGGTACTACTCCAAATTGCAACCGCATTTCTCTAGCTAATTTATTTTCCCACTCCGAGACAACAGTTTCACACCACCTTTCTTTTCAAATATCCCATACTCCTCCTCTAACTCACCTGATGACCTCACCATATGAAATATGTTTCATTGAAAAAACAGATGCAGATGGGAATGACCGCAGCTTCCACCAACCTACCTGCCTGCTGAATCCACATGATTTGTATTTGCACTTATTATGATAGAAATTTCCCTGCACATCCTCTTAGGACAATCCTCCATTTTTTCTACCTTGATATTGGAGAGCTGGAACCCCCAGACTCAAACCAGATGGACTGAAAAATGGAAGAATCAGGCTGCTAGGCTCGACCACAAAGGTGAAGGAATTCCCACCCCCCCTTATTAACTACTCCCTCCCATGTGCGTGTTCTAACCCTGGAAGGAGCATCAAATTATGTACATCACTGAGAGTTGTAGAAATAAATACTGAGTATTTATTTCTCGGTATTTATGTGTATTTCCCATACACAGGGATGCCTCATCCAAGATCCAGTAATCTAGGTCTCCCCCAAACCTACAAGAAATGCTGACATACACTCCTTTCAGAGAAATTGGGCAATAAAATATTCACCAAAATTCTATGTAACAAACTGTTTTCTTTACGTTTTTTTAATCTGTATTTATTTTTGTCTTATTTCTACTGTTAGTAGAAGTATAAATTGCTACAATCTTTCTAGAAATCAATTCAACAGTACACATCAAAGCCTTAAAATGGTTTATTTCTTTTAACTCAGTCACCTCCTACTAGAAAGCCAAGGAAATGATTAGATGGAAGGACACAGATTTCCATCCTAATATTGTGAATAAGAGTAAAAATTTGGATATAATCTAAATGTCTCTGGGGTAATGGTTAAGAGAAGTGTGGCACATCAACAAAAAATGTGCATTCATTAAAATGATGTTTATAAAAATTTTTAATATCTAAGAGCATGCTCTTCAGATTAATTGAGCAAAGATTTATTGCCCTTCTTATTCACCATGCACTGAGCTAAGCTCTGGGAATACAGTGATGGTTCAACACAATTCCAGATCTTGGTCTCATGGATTTTACACTCAAATCCAGAAGACAGACATTGAACAAGAAATTACAAACGTGATGAGGGTTTTGAAAGAGGATGATATTGATACTATGGGAGTGTATAATGTGGGGACCTAGCCTGGTGGGGGTCACGGAAAGCTTGTCTGAGGAGTGAAATTTAAGCTGAGATCTCAAGGAAGAAGAGGTGAGACAGAAGGAACAACTAGTTCAAAGACTTTGTGTAATGAGCTGAATTGTGTCCCTCAAAATACGTATGTTGAAGTTCCAAACCCCTACTACATCAGACTGTGACTGTATTTGGAGATAGAGTCTTTAAAAAGGTAATTAAGGTTTAATGAGGTAATTAAGGTGGAGCCTAATCCAGTATGACTGGTGTCCTTATAAAATGAGATTAGGACACAGACATACACAGAGGAAAGACCATGTGAAGAAACGACAATGATGGCCATCTATAAGCTAAGAAGAGAGGCCTCACAAGAAATCAACCCTGTCAACACCTTGATCTCAGACTTCTAGCCTCCAGAATTGTGAGAAAATAAATTTCTGTTCTTAAGCCACTGGTTCTGTGGAGCTTTGTTACAGCAGCACTAGAAAACCAACAATACCCTGAGAAAAGAGAGGGCATGGTATGTTGGTGGAAATTGAAAGGAGCCCAGCATGGCTGGAAGGGAGAAAAAGGGAAGAGAAGCCTGGAGTTGGGCTTGGAGAAGGGTGGAGAAGGACACTGAGGATTTGGGATGCTTTAGCTCCAAAGATGAGGATTGTGTCTTTCCAAAGATGAACAGCTTGTGGGCTATAGTAAGGATTTTGAACTTTGTTCTAAAGTAATGAGAAATCGCTGAAGGGTTTTAAACAAGTCAGTGGCCTGATGAAGTATAATGCTAAATGAAGAAAAACCTAGAACTGTATGGGCCGGCCCCGTGGTTTAGCGGTTAAGTGCGCGCGCTCCGCCGCTGGCGGCCTGGGTTCGGATCCCGGGCGCGCACTGACGCACCGCTTCTCCGACCATGCTGAGGCCGCTTCCCACATACAGCAACTAGAAGGATGTGCAGCTATGACATACAACTATCCACCGGGGCTTTGGGGGGAAAAAGTAAATAAATAAAATCTTAAAAAAAAAAAAAAGAAAAACCTAGAACTGTATATAAAGTATGATCTCAGCTCTGTTCTATATATATAGAGAGACTCATTTATTCAACAAAGACTTACTAAGCACCTCCTGTGTGCCAGGGCTTACTATAGGGCCTGGGGTTGCAGCAGGGGGCAAAATATAGTAAAGAAGATCAAAAATAAAGTAGCAAATAAATACAATAATGAGTTTATGAAGAAAAAGGATTTGTGGTGTGAGGATAGTGATGGAAATCAGCATGACAGCATGACATATTTTTTTGTGTGTGTGAGGAGCTCAGCCCTGTGCTAACATCTGCCAATCCTCCTCTTTTTTTGCTGAGGAAGACTGGCCCTGGGCTAACATCCGTCCCAACCTCCCCCAACTTTATATGGGACGCCGCCACAGCATGGCTCGCCAAGCAATGCATCGGTGCGTGCCCAGGATCCGA